CGCACGCCATGCCTTCTCTGTACGCTGGCGCTCCTCTCTACGGCCGGCGCCTTCTTCTCACGGTGGGTCACAGCGACACGATTGGCTGCGTCGCTGGCGGCAGTGAATGACGAGCGCTGCGACATGCCGCCCTGGCTGATCGGCGCATGGAACTATACTGGCTGCAACCAGACCGCGGCCGGTCTGCTCTGCCCGCGAGGAGGCTTTCTTCAGTACAGCGCGGACTGCCGCATGTACGCTGAGCTCTATTGGCCCTACGGCCCATGGTTGTGGACGCCGTTCCAGCCGTGGCACACCCAGTTCTACCAGGGCCTCGTGGTGCCAGCTCCTGGCGAGGCGGGGTGCGTGGATCATGTCGTCACGGACGCCTCGCATGACGTGATGAACGCTGTCACCGCCATCCAGCCGGGCGCAATCAACAACCGATGCCCGTACTTGTCCGAGCAGGACCCGAACGTGCTCCTGATCCGCGTCACCGACACGACGCCTTGGGGGTGGAACATGGAGTGGAGGCGGCACGTCGGGCACGAGATCCCGGAGCTGTACGACTTTACATGCGGTTGGTGCGACCTGTCTTTCGCGGACGCCGTGAAGTGGGTGAGGGAACATTTTAGCGCTCAGAGCGGCTCTGTCAGAGGCACGTGATTAAACTTTCGACTGTCTGTGCTTGCTTGTGCGTCTTGGGTCAGGCGTTGTGTTTTTGTGTGGACGCCCTGTTGGGCAGTCTGGCGTACGCCTTGAGGGGAGGTCCGCCCTCCGACGCGCTCTCGAGCCCCCGCCCCAGACAGAGAGCCGTCCGCTGGCGCCGTGCGATACACTATAACACACACCGCCCTGGTGCCTGTGGTCCTCTGACGTAGCCGCTGCGTCTCGACTCGGTGATATGGCACCCGCCGCGAGCCCGCCCGCCACGCTGCTCGCCGACATCGCCGCCGGCGACCTCGCCTCGCTGTACGCCCACCTCTCCGGCCGGCGGACGCGCGGCAGTCTCAACGCGCGGCTCGACACCGAGAAGCAGGACACGCTGGTCGGTCGAGTGCATCAGAACCCCGCATTCATGAGCCGCGTCTTGTCGTTGTCCAGCAGCCGCGCCTTGGCGGCCTCGAACTCGCTCGCAGACAGCGCGCCCGACTGGTAGAGCGACGTGAGCGAGTTAAGTTGGTCCACAATGGAGGGACTAGCGCTCGACGCGGCCACCGCGACGGGGCTCGCGTGCACGACTGGCACGCTCGCGTTTACGGCGGTCGCCTGGACCGAAGGGATGGTTTGCCCAAATGGCGCGGCGCCGCCGGTCGGGACGCCAAATGGCATCGCAGAAGCTCCATAGGCCCGTGAGGTGGCCCCGCCGGCGGTGAGACGCACGACGAGGCCAAAGTCGTTGTTGACGTGCTGGCGGCGGCGGCCAACGGTGACGCCAGTGGCCACTTTCTCAGCCCGGAACGTGACGCCGCGCATCTCCTGCGCCCGACAGACTGCGTCCACGCGCTGGACCTCCCTCTCGATCCGCGCCGCCGTCTGCGTCATGATGCACACGGGAGCGGGAATGAAGAGGATCATGATGGGTAGCAGGAGCACTATTGG